GCCCCGCTGCGCCGTGCGCAAGCAGCGGGGCCGCAGAGACGGGGTAACAGCCGTGCGGCCCCTTCGTGCCGGGGCCTTTTTGCACAGTCAGCCCGAGAAGTGCGTTTCTTTTACAAAAAAAAAAAGGAAATGCGTTATCTGCAGATGGTGGCGAGTGGGTTGTTCCCAGGGAGGGTTTGTATCTCTCTGCGCACTTGCTGCTGGCGGCGCTGCTGGCGATGACTGCAGAGGAGAGAACGGTCAGGGCCCTGCAGGAACAGGGGCAGGTTAAGTGCGTGCAGTTCAGTCATTTGTCAGCGAGTGACTCCTGTGCAGTAGTCATTCTTTAACAAATGAAGATTGATAGCGGTAATTAGAACGGGTTTTCTACTCTTAAGTGTGCTTTTAGTTTGCTTTTTGTGTTTAAGACTGCTCGTGGTAAGAACTTCACATTAGCAATGCTTTTTCTTTTCTCGGTGTCTTAGAAACTTGTAAGCCAGTGATGGAAATGTTTATGTTTGTGTTGTGTTCTTGCGCTTCTGCAACAACTCGATCTGCATGTAGTCAGTTTTCCTCTAGGTCAGTGGGAAGAAAAAAATAGGCCATAAATGCTTCCGTGGTTACTTGATTTTGGTCTGTAATGTGTATGTGACAAAAGTTTCACGAGAGCAGAAGTGCTTAATTGAATTGTGATAGTGATTTGGTGGGGGAGGGAGGGAGCGACACCAAACACCCTCATATTAAAAACTGCTGTTCTTGAGCTATCTGGTTGCTGGCAGTGTGGGCGAGGAGGGGAGTGAAGAGGTATTGTGTTCTGCATGCATTAGGTTCAGCAATCATCTGGTTTACAGCAGAGTGTGTCTCTTCAGATCAGGCGTCAGTTTCAAGTGGAACACAGAGCAGTCAATGCTCAGAGGTGGCTGATGCCTCAGGTGGACTTTGCAGAGAGGAGACAAACGTAAACTAAGAAAATCTGAGTGCACAGAGTTGGAATAGAAATTTTTTTGTAGTACAACTAAGTAGGCTGCACATTTTAATATGTGCAAGCACCCACTGCAAATAAACAAACAAAAAAAATTAAATTTATGTATATGTTTTTGTTTTTCAGACCCCATCAGCTGTTCAGAAGATAAAACAACTTCTTAAAGATAAACCTGAGCATGTAAGTGTGAACAGGGCTAACGTGTAGATTGTGCTAAGGTGTGAGCACAGCTCATGATCACAAAGCATTTCTGGCTGTCTTGAAAGTTTGAAATAAACACTGAGATGCTTATTAGAGATGTTGTCTTCTTTTGGAGGGGAATGCATAAGCTTGTTTATATATCAAGCTTTGTTTCTTTATAAAATGCAGGAAATAGACCAGAGTGTAATGATATTTCACTGTACAGTTACTTTTGAGATGGATAAAGTTGAAAAAATGTAAGCTTCAAAATGTTTTTGAGCTATATTTTAATGAAACCTTTTAGTATAGCATAGTGGTGACTTCTGGTAGGAAAAGAGGTCTTCAGCTGTTGATATTAAGACATTATTAATTAAGTTCTTGTGAAGTATATAATAATAAAGTTAGATCCATACCCCTTGAAAAAACATCTAATTCTTAGGAAACTTGACAATGTATTTTTTTAAGTAATTTTTTCCAAATGTCTGATTGAGCTTGTCATCTTTTCTTCTTGAGGAAGAACAGAGCTTTGCTTTATAACCATTATAAAACCAAGCATTAGATTTTCTTCTTTACAGTAATATTATTTCAAGACTAATATTTTCTTCTAACTTTCATACAAGGCCCATTGTTTCTTTTGCTTCCTGCACATATTCAACTATAACTAGACTCTTTGTTCTGATGTTTTAAACCATCTTAAGGAAGCCCAACCTAAACCTACACCTTAGCTGGTTAGTCATCCCCTTGCTATAAATGGTGTTTGCATTTTCCAGCCCATTATTTGTAGCAGTTCCTATAGAGAAAGGTGTTTCATCTGGAAAGATCAAACACTTTGTCTGAGACCCAACTTGATGAGAAATGATGTGTTTTGTTACGTTTTTATCATAACATTTGATTATGGAGATAGACACTAAAGTTTTCCTCTTCAATTATAAAGCCTTGGTGTGTGGAAAGTGGTACAGGTGCTTTTGAAAGCTTGTTGTGCATAAATAGTTTTCTGTGCCTTTAAAACCTTTTCCCAGTTCTTTCCTTACACAGATGCTCTTTTTGTCAGGCTTGTTGGATACTGTGAATGTTATATATTGACTGGGTTGGCTTGTAAGGTTGATTAAAACAGTAAGTAAATAAACACACTTGATATAAGTAGGGGATTGCTTTTTAAGTGAGACTGGCAGTAGAGGTAATGAAGAAATCAAAGTATGTTTTTCAGAACTTTGGTTTGAAGTAAGTTCTCTGATGGTGTCATTGCAGAGTTCTGCCCTTGTCTTGTCCTCACAGCTTCATAATTCCGTTACTGTCGAGAATCTTAACATAGCACCTGAATTAGCCTATGAGCAAACTTTAATTTGAAGTCACAAAAATAATCCCTCTTTGAAACCTGTCTGTCTTTGTGAGACCAGGCACCTACAGGGGTACCAATGGTTTGTTGCTTCAAAACTTCAACATAGCTCAGGGCTTGATCCACAGTAGCAAAAAACATCTGATGTTCAGTTCTACCTTGAGAGTTATTTTTGTAAAAGGAAAAAAAAAAAAGTTACTTCTAAATCCATGAAGCTAATTCACTTCTGCTTTGAGACAGTGGAGCATAATAAATGTCAGCATTTGTTGTTATGTGTACTTTCTATCTTGGTGTTCCAGAATGGGTTTTAAGAGAGTTATGAATGTGGTATTGGGTTTTTGTTTTTGGTTTTTTAGGTAGGTGTGAAAGTAGGTGTTCGTACAAGAGGATGCAATGGACTTTCTTACACGTTAGAGTACACGAAATCGAAAGGAGACTCTGATGAAGAAGTAGTTCAAGACGGTGAGTTTTTGATGCAGCAGCAGAACCTTCTGTGGTGGTGGGGAAGAATAACCTGTTACAGGTTTGCCGAGGTACAGGCTAGAACTTACTTGAAGTAATGAGTTACAGCAGGAGGTCCTACTGTTCTGTTACGGGAATTGTCACCTTAGTTTCTGTTTTGAAGTAACCAGTTAATTTAAAACCTGCAGCTTTGCAGTCTCTGCATCACAGACTTCTCCCCCAGAATATTCTGGTCTATCGTTCCTGTCTCTGGAGATGGCTGATAGCAGATATTTAGAGAATACTACAGAAAAGTGCATGTATAAAGGAATACTTTATCAGCATACCTTAAAACAAGGTTTGGGAAAAGTGATGAGGAAAATCCCTTTCAAAGAAAATTTTTATCTTCTCTAACTAGTCTTACTCTTCATTGATATGTAATTTGGTTTTAACCTCTTTATTTTCTTTTGTAGAGGTGGTTTTGGATGGGGTTTTTTTAGGCATTACTGTTCTCAGTTATATATGTTCAGGGATAGTACCTGCAATTGGTGGCAAAGTAGGAGATTTGGATATAAGTGGGATATCACAATTATTTTCTTACAGAAGCTATGCTGCTAGGCAGAGCCCATCTTCCAGCTGTCTTCAGAATACCTGTGACCAACTCATAAATTTAATTCTCTTAAACAGAAAAGTAGTTGGAACTCCAGCAAATTATTAATTTGAACCAGAGTATGTGACATAGGGACTGCCATGTAATTCTGCAGGTGCCTTGGTTTCAAATTCAGCTGGCTTCTCTTCTGTTTGCCTCAGAGCTGCTCTGTCTTTGCAGAGATGAAAACACATTTTTCAGAAGGGATTTACTGGTTTGGATCTTAAGGAAGATAAAAGCAGTTTCCTTCAGTCAGGTCAGAGACCTTAAGTTCCAAAGCCAGACAGCATTTGAGGTGTGCCTGTGTGCTTTCTGTTTTGCTTTGGTTGCTTCTAGACAGGTTTCCAGTGAAGGCACTTAACTTTTATGTAACCATCTGCTCAGGAAGCTGGTGGCTTTACATGCCAGCACAAATTTTATGGCCTTTAGGTAGTAAGTGACTTCTTCAGGGATCAGGTCAATGAACTCTTTCATTAGATTTAGCCTTCACTGTCAGTTACTGTCTAAGTTTACCCCAGAGATGTGTAGGTTCAACTCAGTTGCCTCCAGGCTTGAGTTCTGTTAGTACTATATTTTGTCTTAACGTCTACTATGATGAAACAGCTTTCCAGCAATCTCTCATGCAACTTCATGAATTCTTGTTGCTGTTTAATGATACAGTTTTACATTTTCATTTTTTATTATTTCCTAGTTTGTGGACAGCTAAAGCGTTCCACTCGCATCTTGATGTCAGGTTTGCAGTTTTAAAGTTCAGTAACTTTCCAGAGAGGTAGATACTTTGTACACTTTAGAAAAGGCATCTCTTTTTAGTTCCTAAGGTGAACTACTAATTCTTAATCCTTAAAGGTTGTGATATCTTTGAAAGGTCACACATTTCCCTTACTATGGGATCCAGTAAGCGCTAATAGTTGGTGTAGACCTAATAGTTTTGGCAGAGCAAAAAATAATCATTTTGAGAGGGGAATGTTTGGTTTTTCAAAGGTTTGGGGCATCTTGTTGGATGGACAGACTTTATAATGTTAGGAAATGAGTTACTGACTGTGATGCATGTGAATTAAGTATTGAAGGCTGAGATTTGTTCCCAGGTTCTACAGCTTATTTCCCTGGTATCATGTTTTTAAATCCCTCCCCCAAAAATACATACATTCATATACACACACAAATAATGGTCCTACACTGTTGCTAGAAATGGGTTTAAGCTGAAAGAGGGCAGGTTTAGATTAGATATTAGGAAGAAGTTTTTCACTGTGAGGGTGGTCAGATGCTGGAACAGGTTGCCCAAGGAAGCTGTGGCTGCCCCCTCCCTGGAAGTGTTCAAGGCCAGGCTGGATGAGGCTTTGAGCAACCTGGTCTAGTGGAAGGTGTCCCTGCTGATGGCAGGGGGGGTGGAACTTGATGATCTTTAAGGTACCTTCCCACCCAAACCATTCAATGATTCTAGAGTTTCATAGGTAAAGTAAAAACAGCTATGAAACTGCGCCATGTTAGGCCAGGAAAACCAAGTTAGGCTGGTAGTCTTCATATTTAGCTTCAATTTTTTATGACTGGTTGAAAGAGAATTTTAAAATTAATGGTAATTTTGCTGTATGTAATTCTATTCTTCTTTGTTGTCTTCAAGGGGTTAGAGTTTTTATTGAGAAGAAGGCACAGCTGACACTTCTAGGAACTGAAATGGACTATGTAGAAGACAAACTGTCCAGTGAATTTGTCTTCAATAATCCAAACATCAAAGGAACATGTGGCTGTGGAGAAAGCTTTAACATCTGAAATCTCAGGACTACTTCTTTGACTTTGAACACCCCAAAATACTTACTATTATGGCTTTTGGAAGCAAATGCATTTTCTTCAGGTTCGTAGGTTGCATAAAGTGTAGATACCATTAAGAAAAATAAAGTTAAATCATTTTGAAAATGTAAATTGTGTGTTAAATTCCACCACTGATGCTGTTAATGCTGTAATTTGTGATGAGTTGGGATCCAAAAGGTAAGAACAGTAAGTGCTGTAATAACATCTCTGTACTTTTACAGGCCAAGGAAATAAAATCTCACTGTTCTTTTCCTTTGTCATTTTCTTTGTCCTCTCTACTCACACTTCCCCGTCCAAAACCTGCTTGAAAGAATATATTGCCTATGTGTTCTGCTTTGATTTTGGGTGGGAGAGAGGGGAGGTGGGGAAGCAAAACCAACCATATATATGTGTTTGTTTATAAAGATTTATATACACAGGCACACAGTCCTCAGCTTCGGAGTTCTTTATGATTATGTAGATGCTTGCTTTGTTTTTGTAGTTTTCTGGTGCTTTTATCTTTCTATGTGTGGGTTTTCTGGTGGTTTATTTTCCCACAAATCCGGGGAAGCCTAAAAAGAAGTTCGTGTATTAATATAGTGGTAGGCTACCATAGTACTTCTTGTAGAAATATTTCAAAATGGGCTAACCCAATTTTAATTTTCTTCCTTTCCCTGTTGAAGTCTTTGCTGCACTTAATTGTTTTTAAGAACGTGAAATATATCCAGGCACTGGAGTACTGAAGCAGGATACATACAGGCCTTGTTTCTCACATTTCTATCGTTTATCTTTCTTGACTTAAATTGCAGAGTTGGTAAGACTGCCTCTGATTCCCCATGTTCACAGAATATGCTGTCTGTGCACCAAAAGCCTTTGTTTGAGAGAGGTGTCTTGCACTTTTCATTACTCTTTTTTTTTTTTTTGTAGTCATGTCCGCTACTAATTTTCTTACAGCTTGAACTCTGTTTTGTAGCTCTGTAGGTACTAGGGTTTTTCACCAGAGGTTATGCTAACTTCTATTTAACTCCTGTCTTGAGGTTAACTTTGTAACAGGAGGAAAAGCATTTATAATTTTAAAACCCCTAATATTTAATAATTGTTTTCAGTTACTCTACACAGTAATCAAAATACTACATTTATAGGAGGCAGTTTTTTCTTTAGAATTTAAACTTACTTTCTCCTAATTAGACTTGTTTTTGTAAACCCGTGTTTTTCAAGCTTATAAATTCTTCAGCACTTCTTCCACTGGTGTTCAGGCAGAAGTGTGTCTCTCCAGGCCTTCCCAGAAGCCAATATGAGAAGGACCATTCCATCTTTTTATCCATGTTTCCCTGGTTGTCCAAAGATGATGATGTGCAGCTAAGCTGCTCACTTGTGCAAAAGAGGAGATAATGTGTCTGGCTGAGCAACAGATGGGAACAGCTGGTGAAACGGCTGCAAATGAAAAGTGGGGGACAACAGGGACTGGGTTCTTGCAGCCGAGGACAGGAAGGTTTGGAGATGGGAGTGAACTGAGCATTAAGGCTGCATGTTGAAAATCCAGAGGTCTCTCCAGGTGCTAGTCTGGAGAGTTGTACCCACATGCCTGTGAACAGTTTTGGAATAGTGATGTGCTGAAGATGTAGGATTGCAGCTACGTTTTTAGTCTTCCCTCTACACTATTTCCCAAGTCGTTTGGGAAAAGGTATAGAGGGAAGAATAAAAATGGAAAAATAATTCTTAATCCGTTTCATGTGGCGCACAGGAACAGAGGTCAGAATTTCGGCCCCTGTAGTTTAATACTAAATACTTGAATGTTGGTGGTATACTGTCATCTTTGATGCAAAAACACTATTTCCTTCAACACTCAACTGTTGTACACAGTTACTTTGCTTTATTTAGTAGTTCAGGAATCGCTGGTAACAACACTGGCTAGGCACATTTACAATGCTGTAATTCATTCTTGCCAAACCAAAAAAAAGCAGCTGCTGTGATATAGCTGCATTAGTATGTGTGAAACTCCACGCTAAGTGTGTTTCTGCAGATTACATTTCTCTGCTTCTTGCTAGAGGGTAAGACTTTGAATGTAGTAGCACTGGTGGTTGCTAAGAGTGCTAGTACTTACTCATTCAACTTGTTTTGGTGTGTTTTATGGTGGTGGTGGGGGGGGGTTGGTTTGAGTTCTTTTTAGACCTGTGGCATGTGTAGCAATCCTTTCGTGTTCTGTGTATTTGCATTGAATTAAAGTTTGCACTTTCATACTCCCTTGAAATAATCCTCTAAATTGTCACTTTACTAAGACACTTAATGCACAATGTGTTAAACTTCTGTTAAAAGTGCTACATATAGTTGCATAGGAACATGGTTTTGTTGATTGTCCATTATAATTTTGTGCAATACTGTATGTAGAGTTCTCAGTTACAATAATAAATATTGCCTGTTGGTAAACATTAAATATTCCTGTCTTGAATTATTCTGTTCACAGTAACAAACAAGCACTGGTGGGGAGTGGGGAGAATAGATTTGTATGCTGGGATTACAAAGTAGATACAATATTACTGTTACCTGAGTTAATATTTGTCAGAAATATTAAACATTTTCAAATATTAAAAGCATGGGAATAGCATAGAAATATGGGGGGGAAAAAAAAAGTATGTGGAGAAAGGTATTTATGCATACCAGAAGGGTGGGTTGTTAATACAGACTTCCACTACACTTTGTGACTTACCATTCTCGGGGTGAAATTCTAACAGGTCAGATGCTTATTTTGAAGGCTTCTGCAAGCCAAGAAGTTACGGTGGTATGTTCTAATGCAGGATAATGATTTTCATCAAAGTAACTGTTGACATAAAGGTTTTTAATTATCTTTTCAAATGCTGCAAGAACGACTTGCTTAGGAAAACACTGAACAATTCAATATGCAAGTCATCCTGACAACAGTTGATGAGACAAAATTAATTTGAACTCCAAAATAAGAAATAAAATGCAGGTAATGAGACTGTGAGATTTAACGTCAAGCAAACTTACTGGGGTTTTTTGAGTTAAATCCTACCTGCCATAAGTTGCTTTTACTGTTTAGGTTTTTTACTGTAATTATTATTCTCCCTGTTTATTTAAATCGGTGATTCACAAGTGGAATAATTCTTCAACTGTGCCACCACTGCGCTTACACTGGCTGCCTGGCCACTTATTAGACAAAATTTTTATGACGCTAAAATGTTAAGGTCTCTCCCAACAGAATTCCATTGATATCTAATGTGGCAAAGTGTGTGTTTCTGTGTTCATCCCTAAAGAACCCTCAAAAGAGTACTTGAAAAACGGGCTTTTGTCGTGAGTGGTCCAGCTGAAGTGAACTGCCCGACAGTGAGCAGTTGGTCCCACTTTGTTCTTTATTGACACTTTTAACATGTGTGAGGTGCTGCTTCAATACGGGGACCAAAAATACGAGTACTTGGCACAATTCTGTGTGTGTCTGGGTTTGGACAGCATCTGAATAGCAATTTTTGTATGCAATATCTGGAATTTTTCTTAGAGATACTGCAAGAGAAGATTAACCTCTGAACTCCAGCAAGGTCTTCACTCCCAAGGCCCTTGTCGGGCCCTTTGGTGGGCTACTCCTCTGTCGGCAGCCACCCTCCCTCAGACCTGCCACGCTGGGGCCGGGGCCCCCAGACCACCCGTCTGTCTGTCTGGGGGCAGGGTCCTCACCCCTGTCTGTCTG